ATGTGTATATTACTAAACTCAATAAACAAAGTGAAATTACTACAAGACAAACTCATCATGTACCAATAAAGCTATATAAACAAAATGAACTGTAGGCATATTATCATTAAATTAATTCTTTAAATAAAAGCATAAACCAAACATTTATGACCAGTTAAATAAAAACCTAAAGCAAACCCACTATTTTACTAATTATATGCTAAAATGGAATCAAAAAGTATATCATCATTTTGTTCGACTTTTTATTTTGTAATAATCTTTAAAAATTAACGAACTAGGGATCCTACACATATACAAACACTGTGGTTTGTTTTTGTATGTAGTATTGTGTTCTTTGGGGTAAGATGCTCATCAACAAACATGTTTTTAATAATTACTTTTTTCATAATTTAAAAAAACAGATATTTGCTATTAATTTCCTGTTTTATTTCTCAGATTTAAAGGAACTGTTCATATAGTTATTTAAAATATTTTGATGCTAGTAACATTAGTAAGTTACTTAATAGACATATTCCCAATATGTTTTTTGTGTGCATTTTATTAAGATAGGGGGGGGGGGGCTGTGCTGTGCAAAGGGGGGGATCTGGTAGTGATCTACGTTAATATTTATAAATTTATGAGGGCAGTGGGTAGAAATGTCAAATTTTTTATATTATATGTGCATGATCCCTTGTTAAAACATAGAATTTAATTACCTAATTAAAACATTGGAATGACAATGGCATTTCTTTTGTTAAAAATTGGAAAGCTTTTAAAAAAATTATATTGTTCATATGATTTATATATAACTGAATACCTGTTGGCGTTCATGGTACTTATACAACTTCATCTAATAATTCAAAGCTTATTTTTTTCAAATTTCAAAAACATTTCAAACAGTCCCAATTAACTAATCAAAATCAAATTTTTTGGGTTAGTAAATACCGGTATCAGTGGAATGTGGACTAACAGTAAGATTTTATACTGCTGGTTTTGAATTAAAATTACTTTCTTAAAACCTAAGCTCTTCTAGTCTATGGTGTAGGCTGACATTTGATGAGCTCAAATGGCTTAGCCATTTATAGAAATTTGAAAAAAATAACTAGCTAACTACAAAAATAAACTACGGTGATTTTGAATATATATATATATTATATATATATATATATATATATATATATATATATATATATATATATATATATATATATATATATATATATAAATATATATATATATATATATATATATATATATATATATATATATATATATATATATATATATATATATATATATATATATATATATAAATATATATATATATATATATATATATATATATATATATATAAATATATATATATATATATATATATATATATATATATATATATATATATATATATATATATATATATATATATATATATATATATATATATATATATATATATATATATATATATATATATATAATATATATATATATATATATATATATATATATATATATATATATATATATATATATATACATACATACTGTTTAATGAATTGAAATGTATTTAAATTAAACATTGCAAGGCAAAAGTGGTGTTGCAGATTTGAATAAATCTCAACATTCACAAAACTAAAAAATACCTTACGTTATCTCCCCAGGACATGTTAAAGATAAGTAGACTGAGTGTTCTCTTACTGAATGTAAATTATGTGATTTTTTTTTTTTTGAGAACAAAATAAATGGTTTTCAAATTATTTGAAACTTTTGTTTTGAAAGCTGTATTTCTTTTAGGAGTCCGTTTTATTGTAGCTTATGAAAATATAAAAAAAAACCACTAATAAATATTTTAATATAAAAAGGTTAGATAACAAAATTTTTTACATTTTAATTGTTTTATATCAAGCAAAAAAAAAAAAAAACAACAGCAAGATAATCCCAGTGTTTTACTTACAACAAGTTGAGACCACATTGCAAATAGACAAGTACAAGACAAGGCATTGGGTACTGAGAGTAATTTAATATCCTGGTCAATGTGACTTCTGGATTTCTTGAGTGCATGGACATCAACAATGTAACAGAGAAATAATAGCAACAAAAAAAAAACAAAAAAACAATCAAGTTCATTTTGTGATTTCATTCACAAACATCACTTACAACTGGTTATGTATAATTTTGTAGAAAAAAAACAACAAATGACTAATTTCTGTAATAAACTTTGGTACATAGCTAATGATAACTTTGACTATAGTATTAGATTAAGTATAATACATTTATGTTGAAAATTTCAAAACTTTTCCTTTGGTATTTCAGGAAAAATAAAACAAGTTTAAATATATCTGATTATTTTTAAATATATAATGCCAACATTAAGTTGTATATGGCTAGTACACTACATTTTACAAAAAATGTAAACACTTTAATTTTAGTTTTGGTTTTTGAACTTCTTAAAACTTGTGGACAAAAAGCAATGTGAATAATGGTAAACCAAAAAAAATTCCCATTAAACTTGATTTAAATAAAAATTGATCTCTTTTTATAATGCCAATATTACGTTGACTATGGCTAACACACTACATTTTTAAAAAATGTAAACACTTCAATTTTATTTTTGGTTATTTGAACTTCTTAAAACTTGTGCACAAAAAGCAATGTGAATAATGGTAAACCAAAAAAATTCCCATTCCACTTGATTTAAATGAAAACTCATGTAAAAATAAAATGTAAATAATAAATTGTAAATTGAACAATAAACTAGAGGAAATGACTAACAAAAAATTTAAAACAAAATAAGCACTACTAGTTTGAAAAACCAGAACATAATGGTTTTAATACAAAAATAAGGAGGGACAATGCGGTGGCAATTCAAGGCTTATTTCTGATGGCATCTCCACTAAAATACACAGTATAGGTCAAGTTAGGATCAAGGCTAGGACTAGGATCAGGGTTGGTGTTATGATAGTGATATTATAATTTAAAACTTGCCTGACTATGTCCAAACAAAGTTTTAGTTAGTGTATTCAAATAAAACGTATCTACCATTCCACACAAAATATTTTTACAGCATTAACCTAGTTTTGTACAAATATTTTTTTTTTTTTAAATTCACACAATTATTAAAAAAAAATTAAATTGTTAAGTAGATTGTCTCAAATGGCCAACTATAATTGTCTTAAACATTTCATTAGCTGGCCAAAAATAAATGCCAAAAAAATAACATGTTTAGTAAATAATTCTATACCAAACCACCATTTAAAGTTGCAAAAAATGTGCACATACATTTTTCCAACATGAACATTATCTCAATTGCATCGGTATAAAAATATCCAGCTGACTTTAAATTTCACTAAGCAATCTTTGCTTATCCCTTAGATTATGCAACAACTACCAAAGCTTAAAAAATTGCCTCGGGCAAATGACCAGGAAAACAAAAACCAAAAAATAAATAAATACATGATATGTACAAGAAATTATAAACGCAAAACTTATGTATATTTTGTTAAATAAAAAAAAAACTAAACGTTGACAGTTATAAAATTATTTTTTCAAATGCACCAACTTAAAACATAAGTTGAAAATTTTTTTTAGAACAAAGTGGACCCTAATAAACCAACTATTAACAGGCATAAAAATAAATCCGCACAAGAACACAAGAAGAGTAATAAAAAGGTAGCCTTAGAGATATGAGCTAAGGCTAAATAATCATACAGGAAGGTACCATTTTACAACAATAAAAATAGAAATAAAAGCTTGTTCTTATTTTAAAAAGTGCGTTTAGCTAATATATGTCATTACTCTTTCTACATAAATCTTATATTCCTCAAAATAACTATTGTTATTTATTTGACTACAATCAATTTATAAGTAAAAAAATTATTAGACATTTAATCTTTGTTAAATGTAGAATTATATATATATATATATATATACATATACATATATATATATACATATATATATATATATATATATATATATATATATATATATATATATATATATATATATATCTTTGCCTTGGGAAAAGCTATGACTATAAAGAAAACTGTACATAATCCACTTTTTATTAAATGGAAATGTAACTCAAGTAGATTCAAAATATTTTTTACTAGCAGAGAAGCTTTAAAAATTTCAAAACATTCATTATTATCAGAGAAGCATTTAAAAATTTCTAACTAGCAGAAAACTTGTTATTGGCTTATAAAATGGCAATGATAAATAAAACTATTCTGAATAGAAAGTCTTGATATGAATATTATAAGCAAATTAAATTATAAAATATAAGAAAGTACAGCTTTTGTTGCATAAACTTTGTTAATTATTTAAAAATAAATCATGTTTTAAATTAGAAAATAAATTAATATTACTATGAGAAATTCTTAAGATATGTTAATATTGTTATAGTTTGAGCATAAAGAACCATTTTAAAAACAACTTAAAACTATAAATATTCCCTAGTCAAGATAAAGATAAATCCAGTTACCTTGGTTAAAAATCAATAATGACTATAATCAAATTTTTTAAAAATATTGCAAAAATGTATGAATAGATTTTTTTAAAAAGTAAGATTGATACGGTGAACAAAATCACAACTTAATTTTTCACAAAAAGAAAAAAGAAGGGCACAGATTAGATACCAACTGTTTAACAAAAATATAGAATCTGCAAATGATGTTTTGCGAGATCATATTGGACATATGGCAACATGTGTGTGATACACCAACCAGCATCAGTGAATGAATTCAATAAATATTTTAAGTTATTAATAAGTGAATAAATAACTTCTTATATATGGCCTGTAAGCTAAGCTTCAGCACTTTAAAATATGCATGAAGCGTTTATCACAACAAGCTATTGAAGAAAGAAAAAAAGACATCTTAGCTGATGTTAAACACTCATTTTTAAGTTTACATTTCATTTATATAACCATCAAACAGCACTAAGTGACTAGGACTTTTAAAAAAAAAAAAAAATATGACTAATTGTTTTTTTAAATGTAAGATTAATTTGTACAAAAAAAAAGTATTATTTAAAAAATCAAGAGCTATTTTTAACTTTTTTTTTGGCAAGTTAGTAGATGAGAACTTGTCAGAGGTATTATGCTTAAGTCAGATTTATTGTGGTGTATTAACAAGACATGTACTGTAAGCACCTGTGCTATAGCACCTGCAATAGCAGCACCTGCACTGGCAACACCTGCACTCGTAGCCCCTGCACAGCTGTATACACTTCCTTGTTAGCAATCCACCTCAGCAAGCATCTGGGGTAAATTCTTTTTCAACTTGAAGTAGGATTCAAATCTAGTACGCGCATAGGCCTGAAATTTAAAGAAAAATAGCTTTAAAAAATCAAATACATACATAATTTAACACCCGTTTCTAAAAAACTGTTTATTTAAATACAATGTATGGATAGGTATGAAATATTGTTCTTTTTTTTCATAAATTAATAATAAATTAATTAAGAATTAATTAAAAATATATTTTATGTAAGAGGTAATCTCTGCAAAAGAAAATGGTCATGCTCTGTTATTAACGGGAGTGGGGATGTACAACAAAATCCAACACCCACATGTCTGATACACCTCTGGTTTCTTGAGATGCTGATGGGTCTTAAAATTTACATTTGTTAATTTGTTTCAACATGCAACAGAGGACATCCATGATCACAGGAAAAAACACAACATTTCATGCTTTATAAAACATCCCAGGAAGTCGCAAGATGGGGTTAAAAAGGTCATGTTAGAAGGAAACAAGTGGTTATTTAATGGATCTCAAGAAATATATCGAATTGTGAGATCTTTGTCCCAAAAATATTTATAATAAAGTTTGATATTTATTGGCAATCACAACATTTACATGACACAGCACAAATATTTAAATAATTAAATAATACAATTAAATAATACAATGCCATTAATTTTATTTGGATCTTAAGTGGCACAATTATATTAAGGTTTAGTATTAAAACAATATTTTTTTCATTAATTTTTTGTTTCTGTCTATGGCCATAACTTAAGGCTGTGGTAGTTGTTAAACCTACGGATTTTTTAAAGAGTCGAATCACTTGGTTTTAGCAAAGGGAGTTAATAATATAGCTTGGAAGGAAAAAAAAGTTTAGTTTTAGAAAATGATCTTAAATGAGTTGGAGCAAACGACTGAAGAAATGGTTTGCACAGAACTTAAAGGGTTCAACTGCAAAACTTAGAAATTAAAGAGAATTCTGCTTACACATGCGTTTTTCAAATAGCTTTAAAAATTATTGATATAGCATGTATTTTAAGTCACAATAGACAACTACATCAGATAATTTGATGCCTGAAAAAAAGTATATTTACATACAGCAATTTGCAGAAAATTTTAAGAGTTAGTAAACACATATTGTGTGGGAAATATATAATACATTAAAATACTGTTACTTTTAGTCTTTTATACCACTGCTAATTTTCTCGATCTTTTGGAAAACATTTTTAGTTACATTTCTGCAAAAAATGTTTATTTTAATTGAAAGACGTTATGTAGGAGGTATGTATGTGCCAAATACCAACTACTGAAAAATTTGGATATAACATCACAGATATATGGATATGCAATTCACATACATTAACAAGTATGTAAATACACAAACATTTTAGTAGTCATTTATAGCATATTGCTACATTTTACTCTGAAACAATTGTTTAAAGTTTTGACACAGTGTTTAACCCATGCACAAGGATCAAATGTTGATTAACCACTTCCACATATCAGTGAGTTGTTGTTGACAAGCCCCACAATCAAAGCAAGAGATAGACCATAAAAAATTTTATGCATTTAAACTCACAGTATAATCTATTGGTGGAGTATTTTTCTGCATAGAAAAACAAAATATTTACAGAAATAAAAATATAAGTAACATTTAATAATTCTGGATAAGGGAAGTATGTGCATAAAGAACAAAATATATACACAAAAAATACATGTAAATATTGAAATTCCCCCATTGAAAAAGCAATATTTAAAATTTAAAAAAAAAGATTTTGAAACTTTCCCCTGTAAATAAAAAATTTGCTTGAATAATTTTATTATAAAAACGTTTTTTTAAAAGAAAGTTATTTTTATAATAAGTTGGCTGTAAATAACATCTATTGAAAAAATTGTTTATTTATAGAATGCATAGAATGCAAACATTTTCTGTTTATAAATCAGTAAAACAAGTTTTTATGGGTAGCTAGTTAAAATTACTTTTTAACACTAACCTTGATTTGTGTTTTTAGCCAACCATTAACAACTAATAATCTTAAACATTGGATCTTATTACATTTTTACGTGTTAGTTTTCATTTAACTTAAGGTTTTTTTTTTTTTAATTTTTGATATGTAAGAATTATGAAATCTAATTTAAGCTAAATGAGACATTTAAAGCTTGGATAAATTAGAAAAAAAAAACTCAAATAAGAACAAAAGAAAACAAAACTATACTACAATAATTGAGTAAAACAGCAAGAAAGGATGTTTCAATCTTACAGTGTAGTTGAAGTCTATGCTGGATGTCTGGGCTTGCACCATGGCCCAGACTCCCCAGGCAAAGTGGGAATGCAGTGTTAGTGTGTTGGTCTCTTTGTACAACTTGGCCAAATCTGTGTTTGTGAATTCCCCTTTCCCAGAAGCACGCAGGTAACACCGGAAAAATTTGTACTGTTAAAAAATTTTTTTACATTTTTTTTAATAAAAAGAATATTTATATTAAAAAATATATCTAATCTGTAATTAATAAAAAGCATTCTTTCAAATGCCTACTGCTAAAAATACTAAACTATAATGTAGAAAGAAATTTAATTTTAAATAGAAATATTACACCCATTAACTAGATTTTGATCTGGCAACTTTCAAAGTTGTACCATAAATAAATAAGGAATAATTTATCCAATGTACATCCAGATGTGGGAAGAGATGACTGTGAAGTACAGCAAGTGATCCCTATACCAAGATTTCCTGGTTCAAAGAGCCAGGATTAAACTAGGATTTTTTTCTATGCCCAAACAGCTATAAAGGTTAAAATTAAAAGTAAGTTAAAACTTGTGGGTCTTGTGTTTGCTAGATGATCTTCTTCTTAATCCCTGTTACTAAAACAAAATAACTAAGTCTTCAAAGGAGACTTCAAAATGTATTATTAGAAGAGCTAACATAATGAACAAATTAATTGTTTAAAAATTATTTGTTCAAACCAACCTGCATTTCCTTTGATGGGTAACTGTTAGGCACATATTTAAACCCAGGCTGTTCTGTCATAGAGTAATCAAACATCCATTCATTGAAGTGATTGCCTAGATCAAAACCTCTGTTGGGGAAATTTTAAAGAAACAAAACAATTTTTTTACTGGGTAAAACATCTTTAAAGAACTTAATCTTTCATCAGTGGTACTTTTTTATTGAACTGATTTTTTATTGATTTTTTTTTTTAACTGAGTTGGAAAATTGATTTTCACCATCAGTTGATATTTAAAACTAGCTATTATTGATTTAGGTAGATGAATAGATGCTGTGGAGACAGAACTACTACAGCATCAAGTCTAGACAAGGAAGAAGAATACAGCAGGCAAGTGGAAAAAGGTGGTGAAGCAGAGAAAAGCCCTCCGTGGATGGATTGATATTATTGATTTTGTGGCTTTGTTATCTAGTACTACTAGGTTCTTCGATTGATTATTGGGCCTACCTGTAATTATAATGTCCATACTCCCAGTCAATGATGGTCATTTTTGGAGTACCCACTGTTGCTTTGTCAGCTAACAGTATATTTCCTTGACAACAAACAAATGTTAATTACACATTTAGAATAAAAACTGAAGATATTAATCATGCAATTGTTCAATAATTATTAAAGTATTATATTTTAATAATAATAGACTTACCTCCTTGTAAATCATTATGACAAAACACAATAGGACAGTTTAGATCATTTGCAGCTTTTCTGTAATCATAAACCACTAATTTATCAATTTTTCAAATAATTTTTACTTAATACATCTACTATAAGTAGATTTAATTGGTTATATTTACCCAGAAATAGTAACAAAAATTCATTAAACAGCAAATAAAGATACACACAGGTATTGTTTTAAACATAAAATATTATCATTTCTTTAAAATGTCACAACAGACTGCCTAAACAAAACAACCCAAAAAAAAAAATGCTTAAATCTTCAATGAACTAGAATACTATTTTAATTAATATTTTTTCCAAGTATAGCTTACAAATGTAGCTCTCCAATATTTTTTCTAAAGAATTAAGGTTTTATTGATTTTTTTTTAGATGGATCAAGCTTTATTTTCAAGCAATCAGTGTGCATTTCACTACATTTATAAACAGCTGGTGATATGAATAACCAGTACTTATAAAAATAGGAACAGGTAGAGAAACAATGTGAAACAAACATTGCTCTGAAGCAACTTACAGTAGCTCATTAAATTCAGTATCCATGTCAAACGACGGGCACATCTCAAGCAGGTGTGCCATTATATCACTGTTGGAATCAAAATTATTTTGTACATCTCTGATCCATCTGTATGATACACACAAAGACATAAAATTATACAAAATAAAAGTAAAAGTAAACTGATGGATCCTTTTTTTGTACAAAACTAAAAATTTTAAATCATTCATTAAATGTATTGTATATACATGAAATCATTTATCATATGAATAGTTTATACATGGGTATTTTATTATTTGTCATGAAACTAACACCTGAACACTGACAATGAATAAAAATCACAGTTAAAATACTTTAAAATCTTGATACTAACCCACGGACCAGACTCTTAAACCAGCGTGGCTTTTTACATAGAGGCATATCCAGGTCATGAAACTGAGCTAACTTTTCAGCCACCATAACCATAACCTCAGGCTGGCACAGATCTTCTGGCTTCAGGGGCCTGGCCTGGGAAAGAACAGTTTCATCTTATAATGCAAGGAACCAGACAAGTAAGGAGAAGTAACTGGATAGAATTTTAAGAGTTGCCTACCCTGAAATAGATATACATCATTTACACCCAATAAAATAAAGCCATTTAAGATAATAAATCAGGTGTAGTCAGTGTTTCTTTTAGGATTTTTTCTCCAGGGGAGCTAAACGGACGGACACTGGTGAAAGTATATTTTAAGTATATATTTTCTATATAGATTCTATTCCGGAGGGGAAAGTTAAGAGATGCCTGAAAGTAACATTGGATGTAGTAATTTTTTTTACATGTGATTGAGTTTCAATCAGTTAAAAACAATATATTATTATCGATGTAGTAATTGCTTATAAAATATTCCAACAATGCAAAAAGAGAAAATAAAAAAGCTAAAATACCTTGATAAATTCTTCTATTCGCCCATCATGGTACATTCCATATGGCTTTGGTCCTAGTTTTCTTTCAGCAAGCAAGGCAAAGACTACCGAGTTGTGCACCAAAAAGTCTAGAGTTGATTTGCTAATCTGTCCATATATCCTTAACAAAACTTGAGAGGGCTCGCCACGGAGAGTCTTGGTCCCACCAGGCAGTGAAATTAGATACAGGTAATTTGACATCCCACCTCTAATTTAAAAGAAAATTCATGAAAACATATGATGACACATACACAGTCAAAACATATAATGCATTAAAAATTTTCAGAGAATAATATATTTAAGAATAAGTAAAAAAAAAAGTAAAGTTTCCCTTTCAAACCTGACGGTCTATGGGGCAAGTGAAGAAGGTCTATGGGGCAAGTGAAGTAGAGTTCACTTGTTTCTGTGACCTCGGCATATGAAGAGATAGTGTGGTCAGCAATATGCCCAGCCGCCTTTACTTTCCCTAACGTGAGTTAGGTACCCATCAGAGTTGGGTGGACTCAGGGACGGTCTACTGACTTGAACCCGGATTCGAACTCGATACATACGGGTTAGCAGTCCAGCTCTCTACAGCCAGACCACTCCGTCCCACATATTTAAGAATAGCATATTATTAATTATTATCAGGAAAAGTAATAAACTTATAAAAAAATTTAAAACAATACAACTATAGTAGATTATGTTATGTTAGACTTTACTTAGCACAAAGGTAATTAACTTACTTTACAGGTAAGTATCAAGGAAATGTTAATAAGTAGTTCTTTAAATAATTATTCCTATTACCCAATTGGTTCAATTATTATATCCTCCTGTGAAGACAGCTGCAGCCAAGCACCACCAATTGAGTCTTGGCACCAGCGGAAAGCTTTCCTGCGCACCATATCTTCGGTAACAACATCTTTACACATCTGGCCATTTGTTGGTGGATCAATCCGTCGGTCTGTTTCATTACCAATGTCATTATCATCAATTAAACTATTGGTAGAAGAATTGTGATTATTCTGGATTATTTTTTCTTGATGGGCTTTGCAAGCCTGCAATAGTGTGGCCATAACTTAAATTACTGCAACTATCCACATGAAAGCAATAGAAACAGCCTTGTGTAGTGTAACGAAAATTCCAAAAGTATGTTCTTTTTATAGTCAAGCTAGTCAGCCTGCAAATATAAAATAAAAAGATTCAATTATTATTGCAGTAAGCTGAAGGTAGACAGATCAAGTAGGCCTAGATCTATAATAATTTCCAGTATTCTAGATCTAGATAAATAATTCTATATAATAGTTTCGCTGTCTGTCTATGTATCTATCTATCTATCTATCTGTCTGACAAGAACGCTCTAGAGAAAACACAAGGAAATTAAAAACTCTCACAGTGAAACGAAAGACGAAGTATGACGTGGTCACATTTAGCATAGAGTAGAACATAATCTCAAACCAGAGAGTGCACACAGTAATATAATGACGTCATTGATTATCGCGTAAACATTGAATAAAAAGGAAATGTTGTCTAATCTAAATGGTTTGCGTGAAGAGTTTCTTGCATACAATTCTTCGGGTAGGGGCGAAGCCCCACCCCACGCGTAAGAACGTCTGAGCCCCCCCCCCTCCCCAACTCAAAAGAAATTTCTTCATCGATACTCTATAATAAAATTACCGCCTAATTAATGTGTCTAATCTAAAAAGTGGTTTTCTTGCAATTTCTTTAATGCAATTCTTCGGGTAGTGGCTAAGCGCGACACCAGTGTTTCTTTCAGACTTTTTCCTCCCCGGAGAGGGGTGGGGGTAATCGAAATTTTCGGGGGCGGGGGTAGAATTTTCGGGAAGGGGGGCGGACACTGGAAAAAGTATATAATTATATTTCGTTGAATGGGACGGTAGACATGATTTTTTTGGGAGTGGGGGGTGGGGGGTAGGGGGTGGGGGGGTGGGGGTGGTGTGTGTGTGGGGGGGTGGGGGGGGTGGGGTGGGGTGGTTTCCTCATCGATACTCTATAATAAAATTACCGCCTAATTAATGTGTCTAATCTAAAAAGTGGTTTTCTCGCAATTTCTTTAATGCAATTCTTCGCGTAGTGGCTAAGCGCGACACCAGTGTTTCTTTCAGACTTTTTCCTCCCCGGAGAGAAGTGGGGGTACTTAAAATTTTCGGGGGGGGGGGGTAGAATTTTCGGGGAGGGGGCGGACACTGGAAAAAGTATATAATTATATTTCGTTGAATGGGACGGTAGACATGTTTTTTTGGGGGTGGGGGGGTTGGGGGGGGTGGTGTGGGGGGTGGGGGGGGGTGGGGGTGGGGGGTGGTGTGTGTGGGGGGTGGGTTGGTTTTAGTTTAGAGAAAAGAGACAGCACTATCAACCTAGCGCCCGGTGTATCCTTCCTCAACGGCAATTTTTCTCGTAAATATAATATTAATATATAGGCCTATATAATATATATATATATATATATATATATATATATATATATATATATATATATATATATATATATATATATATATATATATATAGGATAGGCCTATCTTCTATTCTAGAATAAAATCTAGAGACTTAGAGTTCACTTCTTAGAGACTAGTGACTAGACTTACAAGAGTCTAGAGCAGGGGTCTCCAAACTTTTCAGCCCGAGGGCCGCATTAACAATCAAATATCAGTTCGGGGGCCAGAGTTTCTTCAAGACATCTCTTCGGGGTGGCAGCGCCCCCACCCCCTTTAGAACGTGTACCGTCCCCCTCCCCCCCCATAACGAAATATAATTTATATAGGAATATATACAAATTTCAAGTGTCGTCTCCCCCTCCCCCGGAGGAAAAAGTCTGAAAGAAACACTGTCGGTGGCCAAAATCACACTCGAGGTCCAAGTTTGCTCTCAAAATGTTCTTCACGTATTTCAATCTTGAAAATATTTGTTCACACAGGTATCTTGTTCCAAAATTTGAAAGGTACTTTGATGCAAAAGTTTTAATATTAGGAAAATCTTCCTTTTGTAAAAACTAATTAAAACCCACCCGCCCTTCTTTGAACGTGTCTCTAATGACCTCCAGCTGCAGTTCACCTTTGCAACTGGCCACATTTGCTTCAAATGGGTTCTGAAACAGTTTCACTTTTTTCTGCCTTTGAATCCAAGTCAAAAAACCGCTACTGAAACTGCAGCTTGAAGTCTTTGATGATCTCGTATGCAAATGACGTAGGGAACTCAGTGGTTGCTTCAGCCTAAACACCTTGCACTACTGAGAGTGCGTAAGTCCAAAAACATGACAAGTTTGTATCTGAAAGCCTTTATGTGGGTGCATAGATCAGAAACTAGATTTCACTCTATTGCCGTTTTAGATTCAGAAAATTTAAATGACTAGTTATGTCTGCAGCAAAGGCCAATTTATATACCCACTCTTTATCAGACAGTAAGTACATCAGCTTGTGGCTTGCCTTTACTTTCAAGGAAGTCAACATAACTTTCTTAACTTAAATACTCTGCTCAGAAAAATATCTCACAAATTAGCCATCTTACTGCTGTGAAATATGGATTCTGTGTTTCTATTTTCTAACATGTCTTTGAACTATCTATGTTCTCTCCGGTAACAGTGCCATACATTCTATGTAGGGAAGCCAGCTCTTGTGTCATGTTTATGTCTTCATCCACACCTCTAATGAACATAAGCAGTTGAGATGTGGAACAGCTGTCCAGCAACTGATCCATTACCATTAAAAAATTGCCAAACTTGCTTGCATTTTTGCTATTTGAGTCACGATGTTTTCACCGATGTCTGCAACATGGCGGGCAATGGTATTTGCACCCAAAGCTACATTTTCATTTTCAAATTGTTTTGAATTTTCTGTGCATAGTTTCTCAGCCACCTCTAACAAACATTTATTCCGCGGGCCGGATGAGAGGACCTCGCGGGCCGCATCTGGCCCGCGGGCCGTAGTTTGGAGACCCCTGGTCTAGAGAGAGAGTAGAAACTGTAGATAATGGAATTCGGTAATCTATCGTTTTGGGTACATAAAATCGCCCGCGGCTATTAATGTACAAAAACGTTACCTCATTGTCAAGGCTGTAAATAGAAGTATATTGTGATATGTTTGTGTCAAATATTATAGATAAATGAATAATAAACCTAAATCAATAGCTAAATATATCAATATAGGCCCGAAATTAACTTTAAACAGCAGTGTCTGCAAGCAAGATTTGCTATATAAACAGCAGCCATTTGTAAAATAGAGTAACTTCCGCCTGAATCTCGCGCTATAAGTCTATAAAAATAAAACTTTAACAAGATGGCTGCTATAGTAAATGAGCATGGTTGCATCTGTTGGAAACATCGCTGGTGTTCATTTATTACTGAAAGGTTTTAATTCAATTGTTTAGAAACAGGTACATAAATGAAACAAGGAAACATTTTTGTATTTTTCAAAACATAAATCCTCCTCAAAATGTGAAATAATTATTAAAATGTAAGGAGTCACCTGTTTTTCACATTACTAGTCGCGGGCGATTTTACGTACTAAAACGATAGATTACAAATTACCTGGAATTCTAGTCTAGATCTACATCTAGATTTTACATAGATTTCTAGGTCAGGTAGATAAGACAAGATAGATCTATAAATTATAAGAAATAAGATAGGCGTAAGAAATGTAAGCAATAACTTAATAACAAAGAATGAAAGTGAAAGTGAAAGATCCACCCATCAAAGTTCATCAATCAAAATCAACGACTCAACGGATTCAACACCAAAGGTCTATTTAACTCAACTAACAGTTTAATTTATGTATACAATTCTGGCTCCTCGGCAGTGTTCACAAAAACAAGTTACCGTACGTTAATATTGAAAAACTATTTGAATCAAACATACTTTACATCATATGAATAGATCCTTGTTGATCATGATTCACTGCTGGAGTTAGATCGTACTACACAAGTATGACCTTTGAACCGGATAGCAATGCAACACTCCGTTAGGCTACTGCTAAAACAAGGATTGGGTTTGTGGAAACGCGATTGTCCTCCCTTGCCTGCAAGACTGCAGATACTAGACCTAGATCTTTATGAATAAGTTAAGATCAATAAATTCAAAAGGTCGGTAACCCATAAATATCTAACACTTAAGGGGTGGGGAAACAATTTTGTGGTAATGTGCTGCCTGTTGTATGCATAATTTAATCCTACATTTCACTGTGGTTCCAGTTTTATCACCAAGAAACTTTCGTTGAAAACATCACTATAGTTATAGGTCTACCTACCTGTTGATTTCTTGTACATGAAATTAAAAAGCTAAATAAAAAATCAGTCCATTCGGTTATTTGTTTTAGAATTGGCTCTATATCTTAAAAACAGGGATTGTCCGTCAATGACGGCACATTCATGGAGGAAAGGGGCGGGGGAGGAGTCGGACGTTTGAAACGACGTGTGGGTGGGGGGAACTAAGAAAGTGTTCGCATTTCTTGCATTTAAAAAACTGTTTTGAATAGAATTTTAGTAATAATTTTCCGTAACCATTTTTTTAAATGAAAAAAAAAAGATCAATATTGACTTGGATTAATCCGTCATTCTATGGGATTTGATATCTCGGGACAAAAAATGTCCCAGAAAAAACAGGGAAAGAAAGGTATTGGGTGGGGGGGGGGGGGTTAAAAACCGTGACGACCTCTTTGGATCCAACGATTCATAATTCCCATGTTATACATAGAGTTTCTTCCAGGCATCTCCTCAGGGGTGGGGGTGGGGGTGGGGGGTGGGGGGAGGCTGAGCCCCTCTGAAGAAAGTCTACCGCCCCCCCCCCGAACGAGATGGATTTTATATAGTAAACATACACTTTTTTACCGCCCCCCCCCCCCCCCCCCCGAAAATTTCAGGCCCCCCCCCCCCCCCGGAGAAAAAAGTCTGGAAGAAACACTGTTTATACGGTGCGGTGAGCATTGTAGACATACACATTCATTGTGATGCTACCCTTCTCCAAGTAGCGTCACAAGGCGGGGGTGCCGTGCACACCAGGTGGCACCATTGAGGGGGGTGACACCAAATTAAAAAATTGTAAAACTTACTGCCAAAACAATGTTTTATCCAGTTAAAATAATAAAAATAGTAGAGCAAGGGGGGGGGGGGGGTGATACTAAACCGAAAATGTAACATTGTTGATGGGGTGGGGGGTGACTGGTGACTCTGAGCTACCGTACCGAGTGACACCCGACCGTGTGACGCCAATGCTTGCTGCATACAATCGACATGATCACGTTTACATTTGAAGTGCCACAGAACTGAATGAGTAGACTTATTAGCAGACCTGTGAAGTTGGCCAACGTTTTGTACAATTTTTTTTGACAACATCACTCTTAGTTTAGGGTTAGGGTCAAGGTTAGGGTTAAACGTTAAGTTAGATAAAAATTATTAGGATAGCGATATAGTGAGCAGTAATTTGTCTTGGTTGCGGTGCGGAGCGAAATTTCCCCCAATTAGGCTTATATATATATATATATATATATATATATATATATATATATATATATATATATATATATATATATGAAGAGCGTAAACTCGTTTTGTAATCGTAAACATTGGAACTTATAAGCAACACGAAAGCACTGTTGCCAATAGCTGCAGCTTTACCTGAGACTGCTCTTGTGGGTGTATCTAACCCACCCACCCCCCACCATAACACCCCTAGCTTACGCCAATACTACCAAAACAATCGCATTGAGTAAACTGCGCTACGGCAAGCTTATAATCGAAGTCTTTTTAATAACATACAGACATATATAATAAAAATTCTTACTTGGTTTGTGTGAAAATCTTGCAGCAGTAAACAAAACAATGGAATTGGACATAGATCTAATCTATAGAGCTTTGAGCCCTTTTTTTTAAATTTAAAAATAAATGAACAACTAAAAGATATAGACCTAAATAGTGTCCCCCGTGAATTGTAAGTATGTATACTAGTCTCTATCGGCACGAATTCTAATCTAAAAGGTGAGGTGTGCAATAAAATGCGCTGTTGAGAAGAAACACGCATTTACAACTCATCTGACCCAAGTGTTAGTAAGCAACGAATTCCAGGGGGTAAAAAAAATGCAGGTTTCTTTCATGCAGCACTCGCACCAAGGTCTCGGCTAGCCTAGCTCGAAACGGTGAGAGTGGGCATGCTGGGTTTTCATACCACGCTGCATAGTATGATCGCCGCACACGGGTTACGTTATAGCTCACGATCTGCCGTAAATATAGGCAGTGGCGTAGCGAGGTCGGGTGTCACCCGGTGCGGCACTTAATGGTCACCCCCCCCCCCCCCCAGAGGCGTTGCGACCCTTACCGGGGACAAACTTTCAAGTTTTCGATTTGCACCCCCCCCCCTCAAGCTTTCGATTTGCACCCCCCCCCCCCTCAAGTTTTTCTCTCTATATTTTGCCATTTTTTGCCTTGGTGTCACCCCCCTAAATGGTGTCACCCGGTGCGGTCCGCACCCCGCCCCCCCCCTCGCTACGCCCCTGCATATAGGCGTCGCTAAGGGGAGGCGGGTGGGGTGGCCACCCCAGGCACCGAACAGTTAGGGTGGCAAACAGGGTTGGGGAAAAAAGTTCTGAATAATACACAGTTGAAGTTAAAGAAAATAGACTACATTGGCACTACGGGCTTATTTGATTGTGTTGCACATCAATTGTGTGACACCAAAATACAACTGTTAAGAGGCGGTGACAGGTAAAAAGCGCACCCGGTCTTTCTAAATTGGAAGGAGATTTCTTATCAAATTGATGTTATATAAATGGGGGAGGTCACAATATCGATAGTTCACACCGCTACGCTTCAGGCCGTACACGGGATATGAACATTGTATATGACCGTACACGGGATATTGCTATTACACTGTAAGATTTGAACGTACATGGGATATGTACACTGTATGATATGACCGTACATGAAATGGCCGTACACTGGATTTGTACACTGCATATGACCGTACACGGGATATATCTATTGTATGAGATGAGCGTTCATGGTATATGTAAACTGTATGATATGCCGTACATGTGATATAAACACTGTATGATATGCCCGTACACGGAATGCCCACTGTATGATATGCCCGTGATATGTACACTGTATGATATGCACGTAAACGGGATACGTACACTGAGTGATATAGAGAGGGGGGGGGGGTTACCTTCATGAACGCCCACTCATAAGTTTTATAGTCATGAAACCACTGTTACTTTCTTAATGTTAGGATTGTTACATATAAGTATTTACGTAGATTTAGAGTAGCGTCCCTTTTGTTTACATGTTTCCATTAACCTTCAATCTATAGTCTATTTTAGTATATTGAGATCAAAGAATGTAAATAAATAGTACACACACATTTTGTAGCATAGGAACGATTGGGAGGGAAGTGACATAGAGCGCAGAAAACTTAGATGTTAGGCGGGGTATAAAAGGTGGGGTTAGGATTATTAGGGGGTCCATTCTCTTATAGGCATCCTAGGTTGTGTGATCTTACAAGCAATAAAAGTAACGAATTGTGAACGGACTTCGTGTTGGTTTCTTGTCGACCCTGTCCTCAACTCACAACAGATGGTGGAGCAGCTGGTTGCTCAACGCAGTAGAACAACGTACATCCACCCGATGGTTCTTCCTAACGACCGTTGTGATCTACATTACGCCTATCGTTTGCCGCAACACGCCTGCATTTAGATTCGCCTGCCAAATATTGCAGTGCACCGTGATCTACAGCCGTACCAGATTCGCCTGCCAAATATTGCAGTGCACCGTGATCTACAGCCGTACCAGATTCGCCTGCCAAATATTGCAGTGCACCGTGATCTACAGCCGTACCAGATTCGCCTGCCAAATATTGCAGTGCACCGTGATCTACAGCCGTGCCAGATTCGCCTGCCAAATATTGCAGTGCACCGTGATCTACAGCCGTACCAGATTCGCCTGCCAAATATTGCAGTGCACCGTGATCTACAGCCGTGCCAGATTCGCCTGCCAAATATTGCAGTGCACCGTGATCTACAGCCGTACCAGATTCGCCCGCCATCTATTGCAGTGCACCGTGATCTACAGCCGTACCAGATTCGCCCGCCATCTATTGCAGTGCACCGTGATCTACAGCCGTGCCAGATTCGCCTGCCAACTATTGCAGTGCACCGTGATCTACAGCCGTGCCAGATTCGCCTGCCAACTATTGCAGTGCACCGTGATCTACAGCCGTACCAGATTCGCCCGCCATCTATTGCAGTGCACCGTGATCTACAGCCGTACCAGATTCGCCCGCCATCTATTGCAGTGCACCGTGATCTACAGCCGTGCCAGATTCGCCTGCCAACTATTGCAGTGCACCGTGATCTACAGCCGTGCCAGATTCGCCTGCCAACTATTGCAGTGCACCGTGATCTACAGCCGTGCCAGATTCGCCTGCCAACTATTGCAGTGCACCGTGATCTACAGCCGTGCCAGATTCGCCTGACCTTGGACCGTGAATGGACCTTTCGACACTTGATTTAGCTGCTCGAGTCGTTATCGTTTGGGCAGAGACGGACTTCTGTTCGACCGTTACGATATCCAGCGACCATATCAGGTCTCTGATCGTCTATTGACTCCAATCAAGTTCAGGACTACAGACGTGGAGAGTGGACCGAGTGCGCACCGTCTGACACCATCGTGGGATACAAGCTTTGGATTATTTAAAGATAAGTACCTTTTCCTTCATTCTTAGATAGCATTTAATATTTGTATAGTTTATAGTTTCCCTCCATCGCTTACTTCATAAGGGCGGTTAGGGTAGGAGGATTCTAAGCGATTCCTCTATTGTCCAGTAGGTTCTGTTTATCTTCAGGTGGGGGACATACCTGGGAGAGGGCGCTATTGTTAGAAGATAACGTTAGGACCCCCGCCTGCAGATAATCACTGCGACTGTTGGCTTTCTTGGTAATTTGTTCCTCCATT